AAAACTTGTCAATAATTTTCAAGAATATTATTTTATTTAATAAGAAAATTTATTTCCAAATGAATTTGTTGACTATTGAACAGAGATTGAATAAATGAGTTAACAATTTTTGAAATTTTTATAAAACAAGATCTGCTTATTCTGAGTTGATTTCATAAACCAGTTCACAATGTTTGTAATTAATATTAGATTAGAACTGCTTATTCTGATTTGATTACAAAACCCAGTTCACAAAGTTTGTAATAATTAATATGAAATTAGGACTGCTCGTTCTGAGTTGATTTTTTGTCTTTCCTCTTTTAACTAGAGTGATACAAATATAATAATAATAATAAATATTTAAATATTAGCAATCAACAAAGTTTATGCATCCAAGTTACCGTCCACATCAGAGTCTTCAGTTTCTTCATGTTCTGCGAAGTACTCTTCAAACTTGGTGTCAAGTTTTGGAAGTGCGGGATGCACACTGTAGGCACTGAAGTGGCCGCCAGCATCTTTCTTCGGTCTCTTGTTTCCTCGGGGTGGGTTGATGTCTGCTACACACCTATGAAGGATGGAGATGGGAAAGTTATGACTCAGACAAATTGGAATCTATGAAACTTTGAGTGATGTAGTTGACTTGCCTTTGGAAGAACTCAAGGGTTATTTGGGCAGTTGCCTCATACACTAGATTGAAAACAAAGTAGGCCCCAAATAAGAGACTGAATCCTTCAATGAGTGTTTGAGCAACGCCAAGGACAGTGCCATCCATACTGAAGAAAATTTGTCTATGCCGGAAGATGCTGTCACCTGCAAAATTGGAGACATTATGGTCATTACCTGCAGCACCATTGCAGAAACAGTTTAACACCAGAGAGAGCAATCTCACTCACCAGCAATTATGAGGTGAGGGGTCTTTGGGACGGTACATTGCGTTGGAATGTCATCCTCACACTGCAAACCTAACTGTCTACTAAGTACACACTTACAAATGCGTGCTTGCAAGTACACACTTACAAACGCATACTTGGCCAAGTACACACTTACAAATGCATGCTTGCAAGTACACACTTACAAACGCATGCTTGACACATGGAGTTATACGGCGTCAAGCATGCGTTTGTAAGTGTGTACTTGCAAGCATGCATTTGTAAGTGTGTACTTGGCCAAGCATGCGTTTGTAAGTGTGTACTTGCAAGTACGCATTTGTAAGTGTGTACTTAGTAGACAGTTAGGTTTGTAGTGTGCAGTTGCAGTTTCCTGAAAACAACAAAGTGTTTAAAATCTTCCAAATTATTAACAGTATTTCTTGCATTTTTTTTTTTGAAAATAAAGTTTACTTACATCTACTATAAGGAAGAGTCCTGCCTCCTGCTCATTGAATCTTTGGAGAAGAAGAAGAATTAAAGCGGCTAGTTTGGGATTTTGTGCCTCTAAAGGAGATCTTTTCATTCTCTTCTTGATTTTTTTGGTGCTCTGTTTGTTTGTTGCAATCAGATAAACTACAATGTCTTTAATATTTTCTTCCAAAAAGGATGTTAGTTTGGATGAGAAATCAACTTGTGTTAGCACTTGAAAATGCTGGAGCATGACTCTTGGCACTGTAAGAAATGGCCACTTGTCTCTCAAACTTTCAGTCAGAGTAAGTACAGTTACTGCCTCAGATGGTGGTCGTTTTAAATTCTTCTCAATTTCAAGGGCCTGTTTGTTGATATCAGCCCTTTGAAGACCATAAGTTTTGGCCATTCCACTCTCTATACTATCCCAATCCCAACACCTTGGCCTCACCTCCTCAAAGTGTTGCTTGAGGGTGCGCTGAAGTTCTTGAAGTGATTCCATAGTTTCATTTTCTGGCAAGGTAAACACTCGCCATTTCAGACAACCGTAACCAGGTTTAATTGCTGGCGCTTCTCTTTCCATAGTTGTTCTCCTCTCGGGCCTCCTGTCATTGTCGAATTTGTTTTGCATACGTCTGCATAGGCTTCGTTTAGCCAACTTCCCTTTAGCTAGTTCGCCAGAAAATGTGACTGAGTACTTCTCTTTCATGTCCTGCACAATCTGTCTGAAAATGGAGCGTTGAGCACCTGGGACTCTGTTTCTCACCTGACTAACTAATCTTTTGACTATTTCACGTTTCTCTTAAGACCTCAATTTCTTGCCTTTCTCCATTTTCTCTTTAATTTTGGGATTGATATTGAATAAGTCACTCCATGAAATTTTGAAGTTCCATCTCCGGTGCCTTTGCTCCTCTTGTCCTGGAGTTCCTCTTCGTCTTCTCCTCTCTCCACGATTTCCTTCGGTATCTTGATCATTGTCCTCTTGTTGATCGCGTTCCCTTGGAGGCTGATTTTCTTTGTTTGAAGTATTTTGCTGTCCTGTACAAACATAAGAAAAAGCATGCAATACAATATGAAAGAAATAAGTAGGTTTGCACTTCAACTTCAATTTTCTATTCTATTTTATCTTTGCACAAGAAGAGGTTTCCTACTGAATACTGGCAAGTGCAAGACCCCCCCCCCCCCCACCCCCCCCCCTTCCTCCCCCTCCTGTGACAATGAGTTTGAAGCTGCTTACCTGCCAGGGCGGAAATTAGAGCTCGGGCTTCAAAAACAGAGACAACACCGAGAAGGTCAGTGTCTTTCACAAAGCTCAGCTGATCGATGGATGTCATTTGAAGGTCATCAACCAAAGTACTCGAAATTCGCGACACAACGGGTGCCGCCATTGTAGGTACAGCAGCTGACAGGCGTGCAAATAATTCCTCTCTTAAGTCCATTGCGGGCTGGAAAGGAGAGAAAAATAATAAAACGACAATTTTACTAATTGCTAGACTAAAATAAAACCTGCCACTTTACTTTTTCAAAACAGAATTGATTCTAACACTGGTTAAATTTGGAAATGGCAACTAGCCCGGGCAGCTACTGACAGTGCTCCAGCCGGACCCAGTGGCCCAGGTTGAAAGGGCTCGACGGCCCAGGAGCATACCAATGCCGTTAATCCCAGAGCTTCATTCCAATTAAGCACTCAAAACTCACCAATAATTAAGAATACCCAGCAGTAACGCTTGCTCTCTGACACAATCCAAAAAATTTGATAGAATGAACGAACAGCTTAGAGCTGGCGGTTAACACGGTTTAAACTCGTCGCTGACAAATGGCGGATGTCACGCAAAAAACCATGTGCGCCAACCTTGATAATGTTTTCGGCTATTGTGCGTCACGTATTCATCAGTTTTGAAACGAAATTCATAAAAATAAACAGGTATATTAATTTTTGTAGCTATCTTACTTTTTTATAATTTGCAAGTTGACTGATACTGCGTTTGAATCTAAAATTAGGCTGCCTTTGACATTGTTAGGTTGAGGTTGCACTCCTTGACAGGCACAACGGGAGTCAAAGTAGAAGCAGGAGGAAAGTTCTGGTCGGTCAAAGTCAAACTAAAGCTTTCAAACTATTTCTAACAAGAGAGAAAGTGTTCAAATAATTACGATTATGGAGGTTGATTAATGTTCACAAAAATAATGTGACTGAAAGCTCAAAAGTTAACAAGAGATTCACGGTTTTAGGCTGGTTTGTATTTACTTTCTGCATTAGTTTTATCAATCATTGGATTTGTTTTCTTTCACCCGGCTTCGCCTAGGTTATGGTTAGGTTTTATATTTCTTAAAACGAGAGCTTCTTGGGGGACAGTTATCAAAGTTTGATATGTCATATCATCATGTCTCACTCTAATAATTTTGTGCCAACAGGTGTTTCCACTTGTTTTTCTGCTGGTGTTGGTTCTTTTTTCCTGTAACACCACTTCAGGTATAGTTGAAACTTTTCCTCATTGTTTCCATTTTGCTGTTGTTTTTTTCTTTTTTTTCTTGGCCTAATGCAGCATATTCTTATTCCAGGTTTCTACCTAAAATGGGTATTTCAATTGACGCCTGGCGTCAAAGGATAGGGCTCCACCATGGAATTGGCCCGCAACCTGTTGGGCTTGGGTCCAGTTCTAGTTTACCAACTGGATTGTTAGCTCTCAACTTGTTTCTCATAATTTGTATGCTGCTATTCATTGGCAATGTGGAGTTAAATCCTGGACCTCAGCCTTCAGTGTCCCTTAAACCTTGCAGCTCATGTGGGTCTCAATTCAAGACAGCTCATCAACACATCGAACATCAAAGACTCCATGTGAATGACTTCAATTTTAGTTTTGAGTGCCCTTACTCGTTGTGCTTAGTATCCTTCGGACAGTTCAACTCTTTGAATGCTCACGTGTCCGATCACACTGCAAGAAGAGATCAGATTGTAGAGGACTCTGGCAGTTTCAAGTGTTCACATTGTAATGAAAAAATTAGCACCAATAAGGATTACTGTAAACATCTGAAGGAACATTTGAATAATGGCTTGAGTGTCCAATGCCCTTTCCTTTTTAACAACTGCAAAAGAACAGAATTGTTTTCCTCTGCAAACGTGTTTAAAGTTCATCTGAGTCAATGTCATGCGGGCTGGCGCAATGACTTGAGCACCACTGCCTTGAAAATATCGGAGACACAAGATGAAATTTTTATGGAAGAAGAAGGTGGAAATACGGCTGCCCATGAAGATGTCCCACTCCATGGTGATACTGATGCATTTGATAATAATAGATATGAAGATGATGATGATGATTATGATACTTGTTCAGAATCAGAATCTGAAGATGGTTATTCTGATGGAGGTTTTGATCATAGGCAAATTGTTCAATATATTGCTAACTTTTATGCTATGTTAGAAGGTGCTCTTCTTGTCCCAGAGTCTACAGTGGATCTTATTGCAAAAAGTTTTTCATTCCTATCTGAGACACTTCAAGATAAGCTTAAGGAGAATTTATCACGGTCATTGGAATCAGTTGGTCTCCCAGAGAAAGGGTGATAGAGGCTGCTCTGACAATGGATCCTCTCTACAATGTTCATCACCTCAATGCCCCTGATGAATGTTTTTTAACGGGTGAGCGTCGTCGCACCTATTATAAGGAGCATTTTAAATATCAACCCGTAATGGAGATCAATCTTAGAAAAAACCCTCATGATCCTTCGCACTACCTACATTACGTCAATCTCCGAAGTACTATCACCATCATGCTCCAAGACCCTACTGTGCAGAAAATTGTTGATGCATCTTTCCTCGTTGAAGACTCTGATGGTTCTATCTTGAAGGACTATACTGATGGCCTAGTGTTTAGAAATAGCAACACACCACCTAAAAGAATTGACCTTCTCCTCTTTATGGATTCTTGTGGCTTCTCAGATGGACTTAAAAGTGCAAAACACAAGCACAAACTGCATGGTATGTACATAACACTTGGAAACTTAAAGCCCTATCAGAGATCGCTTTTGAAAGCCATTCGTTTGGTTTCATTTGTTAATAATGACTCCCTCAAGAATGAAAGAATGTACCATAAAGTGTTCGAAAGAATTCTGAAGGATTTGAGAGAACTAGAAGACACTGGTATCTCATACAAGAATGAAATAATTCCAGTGAGGCTCCAGTTTATACAAGGTGACAACCTAGGACAGGCAACTCTTTCTGGCATGGTTGAGAGTCCAACTGCACATTATTTCTGTAGGTTTTGTATGATCACAAAAGCACAGTTCAAAGAAGATGCATCTCAGGACCGTCCAGTTTTTCGCAAGGCAGAAATGAGAACTCCCCAGCTATTTGAAGAACATCTTCGCACAAAAATAGCAACCAGTGCTGATAGTGTGTGTGGTGTCAAGAGAGATTCCCCTTTCCATGAACTGGCTCACTTCAAGGTATGCGATCCTCGACTTGCTCCTTGTATTTCTCATGATCTCTTTATTGATGGAGTTGCTGAGAACGACCTGACTGCTATGATAAATTATTTCATAAGGAAGGGATGGTTTACTCGAGATGAGCTGAAAATGCGCATCAAAGGCTTCAAGTATTTGGAAACCGATGCTCGGAACAAGCCATCAAGTGATTGCTCAGAAGCCAAGTTGGGTGGTCATGCCATCCAAAACTGGAACCTAATTCGCCTTCTGCCATTTCTTATTGGACACAAAGTTAATGTTAATAATAAAGTGTGGAAGCTGTACCTTCTTTTGAAATCCGTTGTAGAGCGTGTTTGTGCTCCTGCTCTGGCTAGAACCCAAGTGAATGAAATGAGAGTCCTCATAGACAAGTATTTGAAGAAGAGAAAGCGACTCGGAAATAAATATAAGCCTAAATCGCACCTGCTCTCCCACTATCCTGATCTGTTTTTTCTCTTCGGGCCTTTAGTCCATCTATGGACAATGGCTTTTGAACATCGACACCAGTATTCCAAGAGAGTTGCAAGGATGTGCCGAAACTTTATTAATTTGGGCTCGCTTCTTTCCTCGAAATTTCAACTGCTTCAAGCATATCAAAACATGGGACCTCTCTTTCCAACCAGACCTGTCTTCTCAAAAAGCTCACCTCTACAAGTGGAAGAATATGAAAAAACCTACAAGCTGTAATAACTTCGTGCAAATTTTCTGAAGATGCTGTGATTGTTCCTAAACTTTGTCTAAATGAAATCAAGTACAAGAATGAACAATGGCTATTATTGGAGAAAAATAGTGAAGGTACTGTTCTAGTCGGACAAATTGAATTATTGATTTATGATACTAGTGCTGGTTCTTGCACAGCAATCCTCAAGAAGTTTGAATGTAGCTTTTGGGAAGATTTTGGGCTATATTATGTGACAGACACTGAGCCAATAATCTGTGCCGTTTCTCTCCTAGAACTTGAAAATCCATGTCCACATGCAGTTTATGAGTTTCAAAACATGCTATGTTTCTCTTTGAAGCATTCATTTCTGGACAAAAGGGTAAGAACTGTGGTCTTAATTTGAGAGTACTTCTTGTGTTCAGAATACTGATGTTCTTCTTTTCTTTCAGGTTTCAGAAGAAGGGGGTTCTGCTGACAATGAGCACAATTGATTACAATTTAAAATGTTCTCTCCTCTACATGAAATCAATATTTCATTACTGTGGTAAGATTATCAAAATCTCAAATTTTCTTTCAATCATACATAATGACACTTAGTAATTTCATTGCTCCTTTTTGTCCTGATAGATTTCTCATCATTATTTCTTGATTGGTGCACTGTGCACTTCTAGTGTAGAAATTAAGCATAATTGAGGTGTTTGTTTGATTTTTAATTTTTAACAATTGAATTCATTTTGAGATCTGCCTAGCTTTGTAAGTAATTTTAGTACTGGTATTTTATTCTTAATCTCCTGGCGATTCATTAGTATTTGTACAGTTTTTTGTTATTAATTTGTTGTTTTACCTTTCAGATTATGTTTTGCTTGGGGTCTTGCCTTAAGATCAAAAGACCTCTTGGTTTATCAAACTTTGTGGAGCCTTGGCAGCAAGCCCATTCTATCCTTATTTCTTTGAGAGTGAGTAATAGCTGCACACATCCCTTCTTTTGTTCCCTCTTTTCTGTTATAAGTACACCTTTTTCTCTAATTTCATGTCTTCTTTTGTCTATCAGATTATAATTTGACTACCACTATCAGTAAGAAAGAAAATAGGAATCTCAGGAGTCTTTTACAATCAAGCTAAATTTGTGAACATTGAAGTGGGACCCGCCTAGCCCCAGTAGTTTTTAATTATCTATATATTTCTTCGTAAGTTCAAAATATTTTAAATGCAGTTTCTTTAAATTATGTTTTTTATACCTACATATTCAGTGCAGCTTTCACAATGTCCCCCTTTCCCTTTTTTCAGATGACATTTTGGAGTCCGCCTATCCAACAAACACATCAGAGCGATTCTCACGTTTCGGGGTAGTTTTGGCGTCTCTGATTTGCCGAAAGTGAGAAATATCCAATTAAGTTTTTCTGATTATTGGGGTCCTGGATGATACTAGAGTTATGGCAATGGTATTTATAGTGAAGACCTTGTACTACCTTCCTAAAAACATGAGCCATAAGGTATTGCCATGCGTTTTGGTGGGTGTTTTGATCACGGAAATTACGTTATCACGGAAGTTACAAAGTGTGAAAATCGGCTTTAACGGCTGACTCGGGCTTGCTGTGGCTTAAAAGTCGTTCCAGGGTCAAATGATACTCTAAGCCCGACATTTAAGCGGAAATTTTTTTCACCTAGTGCTGCTGCAACATTGGGTAAAGGGTGCCACGGAAGTTACAGGTAATTGTTGATACACGCCATTTTATAATGCTCTAGCCCGCTTTGAGACCGTGTACAGCATCTTAAATTTCCGCAACCCATGCAATTATATCCCAGGGACTCCACTTTGATGGCTTGTGTCATGGAAAGTTTAAAGTTTGGCTTGGGGAGAAGTCCAGAGCTGCCTTTGCGAAATTTGTGTAGTGAAATTGAATATACGGAGGACATTTTTCGTTGCAGCATAAGTACCTTTGAAAGAAGTCTGGCGTATTGGTCTTCGGTCGAAATTAGCTCGAGACATTCCAAGCTTCGAATCCCCATCGACAGTTGGCAGCATTTTCGAACCACACCGCCACACTGAGGGCGGAAAGTTCGAGTATGTTCTCTTAGGACAATCACGGAAGTTACATTTAGGGTATTCCAAACGCTACGTAGACCAAACCAACGAACGTGAACTTTTCGAAATATATGCGTTTAGTGGGCAATGGCCCTCCCTAACATCAGAAACAAACCCCATGTCGATATCTGCGCTCGTTTGGGCACAGGAGTCAGAAGAAACGAAACTACCCCGAAACGTGAGAATCGCTCATCAGTAAAATCATTTTTGAGCCCATGGGGGTTTGTGAAACACTGGTAGAAGTTGCCAACACTTGATGGCTCTTTACTTGCTTCCTATTTCTTGGTGAGTGAAGCTTTCACTGATTGTGTTTGTCTTTTGCCTTTCAGATTAAGTTTTTGTTTGGATCTTTCTGTTTGGATCAGAGGGCTAGCAGAACATTGACAATTTATGAAACTCTGCCTTGGAACCTAGTCTCCTGTCCCTTCATTTTCTTGCAGTATTGATAAGTCAAAATATTTGGTCAGTGTTTACATTCTTCCCTTTTCACTCTTGGCCTTTTTTTATATTCATTTGACTGATTTATCTCTATTTTCAGGTGTTTCAAGTGTGTCCCTTTACTGAGGTCTAAATATTGAAGCAGTAATCGTTTAACCAGATGAGATTTGCGTTCCAAACTATTCATCAGATTGGTATGATTTTTAAATACAGTACTCAGTTGCCTTACCTTGGAACCTTGTCTCGTGCAACTTCATTTCCTAGCAGTATTGGTGAGTCAAAATGTTTGGTCAGTGTTAATGTTCTTTCCTTTTCACTCTTAGCCTTTTTTTTATATTCATTTGACTGATTGATCTTTATTTTCAGGTGTTTCAAGATTGTCTCTTTACAAAGGTCTTAACATTCAGACTGTAATTGTTCAGCCAGATGAGATACACTACAAATAATTTATGAGCTTGGTATGATTTTTAAATACAGTTTTGCATTGAATTCATTATGGGGTATCATTATTAATGTATCAGTCTTCTTTCTTTCAGGTTTTTATTTAATTGGTCCTCATTCTTATAGAAATAAGTAGTGTTCTGTTACCAGTAGTGATTAATATATATCTCAATTTCACCTATCCTTTTGACTCCAACCTTGGTAAGTTTTAATTAAAATTTATGGTATTCCACTTCACAATTGTTTTGCCTAGTACCCCTATAATTCTCATAGGTTTTTTCCCCTTTTCAGTCTATTGCTGGACACGAGTAAAAAAATCATCAAGTTTGTGGTTGCTGTTGGAGGGTTTATGTGGTAAACTTCCTTTTATTATGGTTCTTGCCAAATGTATAAGATGCTCTGGGACACCTCAAACCTTGGTAAGTTTCAATAATAATTTATGTTATTCTACTTCACAATTGTTTTGCTTAGTACCTGTATAATTCTCATTGGTTTTTTTTCCTTTTCAGTCTATTGCTGGACACGAGCAAAAAAATCATCAAGTTTGCGGTTGCTGTTGGAGGGTTTATGTGATAACCTTCCTTTTATTATGGTTCTTGCCAAATGTATAAGATGCTCTGGGACACCTCAAACCTTGGTAAGTTTTAATAATAATTTATGTTATTCTACTTCACAATTGTTTTGCTTAGTACCTGTATAATTCTCATTGGTTTTTTTTCCTTTTCAGTCTATTGCTGGACACGAGCAAAAAAAGTCATCAAGTTTGCGGTTGCTGTTGGAGGGTTTATGTGATAACCTTCCTTTTATTATGGTTCTTGCCAAATGTATAAGATGCTCTGGGACACCTCAAACCTTGGTAAGTTTTAATAATAATTTATGTTATTCTACTTCACAATTGTTTTGCTTAGTACCTGTATAATTCTCATTGGTTTTTTTTCCTTTTCAGTCTATTGCTGGACACGAGCAAAAAAAGTCATCAAGTTTGCGGTTGCTGTTGGAGGGTTTATGTGATAAGCTTCCTTTTATTATGGTTCTTGACAAATGTATAGGATGCTCTGGGACATGAAGGTACTTGAAACATCATGCTGACTGTAAGTTTTCCTTCCTTTTTTTTTCTTTCAAGTTAGAGCATGTGTCAAGTACACTCTGTCTGGAGCATACTTGCTTAAAGAATAGGTAAATGTAAGCATCAGAATGGCTCTACAGCAGATGTGTAAATGCCATGTATGCCTCAGCTATAGTCCTGTGGCGTACAAAATGGGCTCATTTTATTCTGTATTTATCGTAAATATAATGAGCTTCTCGTAATCTTTATATCGTCAGAAAGCACATTGTAAATTCTCACAGCTTTAATCACTATTTTACTAGTAGTTCATTTTTTAACATTTTTATGAACCTAAAATTCTACCTGTCTGTTTCTGTATTTTTACGATTAAAATCGTTTTGTTATGTATAATATTGTGAAAATACGAATAGTTCTGTATTAACCACCACCCTCAACAATATTTGGAACCTCGATAATTTTACGAAAAGAAGATGTGAAAGTACGAACTGTTCATCAGAACATTTTACGGACAATTTGTCCTATAGAATTAACGGATGATTATTCGTAAAATTACGAACAAATCCCTAACAGTGTAGGGATGAGTCTCCCTGATTTTTCCCCTCAGATCTGAACAAGTATGCGAACAAAATCTTCCGAGAACCAAAATTTTAAACGTTTCGACTAAATCTCCAAAAAAATATCCAAAGTCACTTTCCATTAAGCCAAAATGAAGCTTACTCAATTATCTAAAAGGGTTTTAACACAGAAATTGTAAAATCTTAATCCGTCTACATCAAAATTTTTTTTGGCAAAGTGCTTTTAACATGTATGAGGCCCCTTAATGTGACAAAGTGGGCATGTCACATTCGAACGAACGTGACAGTACATGGGTGTCACATTCGTTTGGATGTGACACGACATGTGTACTTGGGTACCATGTGTCACATTCGATTTAATGTGACAGTTCGACAGCTGATTGCGTGTCACACCCGACGTAATGTGACAAAGCGGTGCGG